CTACTGTATCTCTTTATTAACCAATCACAGTTTGATGTTCATTGTAAAACAAAATTTTACTTGTTGATTCATTTTTCCTATCCTATGGCTACTGTTCGGTATGTTATTTGTGTTTTTTCGCTGTATTGATAGACCGTACAGTTTGTTTGTACACTAACGATGTTAATTTATGTTTTAGAAACAGATAAAGTTTATCTAGCCAAATAGCTTGCTTGTTCTGACTTTGGTCAAACCAAGACTGTATTCGACGGTCTAGAGAATAGCTCAGAATTAGACCTGTAGGAAATTGTTCCCTACAGACTGATTAACTAGACAAATAGTAATAACCAGTCAGGACTTGGTAACTATCTCTCCACAACATAGGACTTGTTTGTATTATGTCATCAAATTTCGTGAGAAGAGCATGTTAATTTCAAACTTTTCATTCAGTGGTTCACAGTCCCAACAAAATGGTTTATTTAAAACTGTATTAACCCTATCAGTCAGACTTGAGATAGAGGAGTCAAAGATTAGTTATTCATAGTTTGGTTATGACTATGGGACTCGTGATGATTACACCCGGTATCGAATTTGGTTGAAGACAGACGGTTTTAATATAATCGAGTCACAATCACCATATTAGGTAGTAAATGTATGGTACAGTAAGGGATTCTAATAACTCTAATTATAATGATAATACTTTATATTCTGAAAATTAGTCTACACTACACAACAGTTTACGAGCTTGACCAAATAGATATAAATTGCTATGTAATCCTTGTGAAAAATGTCTAATTTTACGTTATCTGGATAAACATGGTTTGCAAGTAACTTTGGTTAGGACAAATTCAGATTAATGAATATCAAACAATAAGTGTAATGGAAGGTGTGAAAATGTAGAGTTTAGTGGTGTTGCAGTATAGCATTTAGTGGTATTTTTACAGTCCAAGGCTTACCTTGAATAAATTATTTTTGCTTGAGATGTTTTCAGTCCTTTTTGGTGATCTCCTCAAGACGTATAATCATAGGGTTGAAAGAAGTCTTTGATTTGCTTTTCGACTCCTGAATGTTTCATGAATTCAATCCTCTATAAAGATAAATATGTAGGGCCATTTCATAAACTGACCATCTCGTTATTTTGTTCTTTTGAACTTTGTGGAAAAAGCTGAGAGGTGGTCAGTTTATGATATGACACCTTGGTATAGAAGGAAGCTGTACAGCTTTGCCGTCTGTCAGTCAATTGGGACTCTAGTTTAAGTCATAAAGTATATGCGACTCAGTGATTCTAGATGTTATAAGGTATGGCTCGGAGCACAAGCCAATGACGGTTTATAGGAGTGAGAACTTGTCTTACTGAAAGAATTATTCCTGGTTGTATTTTGTAAATAAATTATCTATCCTGTTATATACCGCTCTCTTCCATTTATTTTGGTTATACTTTCTCACCTCTCTTTGTCTTTTTATGATTCTATTTTCTTATTTGTGTGATGCATATTTATTTTGGGGCCCAGTTGCACCAGCACCTATGTATTTTAAATAAATAAATAGATCTAAGATCTAGTATTCTGAAAAGCTTGTTAACATCGAGTCCCTGGTTTGAGTCTGTAACATCGTATTATTTACCTCTTAATGTCATAAGTGAGAATATTACCTCTCCATTAAACTACTATAACCTCAGTGGACTAAACCTTATTCTTTTAAATTAAGAAAAACACAAGTACTAGCCCGTATTAAAAATGAGAATGCTGTTCAAGTCTCATTTTAAAGTAGTAGACAGTTTTTAGTGATACATGCATTAGTAAATGTCATTATCCTCATTAAGGATATGACTTGAATTCACTATTTAAAGTGGAATTTACTAAATTACAGAATTACAATACGTCTTTGATATTCAGTAGAAACTGGTTTTTGTTAAAGCTAAATATTTTTACTGCTAAAATTTACTTATCTGTATAGCTTATTTAAAGAAATATTTACTGTTGATTAATGAAATCACGTTCACGCCTATATTTACATACAAGTCGCTTAAAAGCTTAGTCATAGGGAATTGAAGTGAATGTAGTGTGAGTCACTCCATTACCATTGTTTGTGATTTCACTGTATCACAATCCTTTGAATATGGTTTCATGTGAATATTTTCATTATGTTTAAAATATATCTTTCATCAAAATAGTAATAACTCACATTTATTTATGATTAAAATGTATCTTCTAATAAATTAAGAAGCCAATAGTAGTACATAAACGAAATCTCTAGACTATAGAATCTTAGAAAACATCTTCGTTTTGGTAATATTATCTTTGTAGTACATCTTGAACAGTCTGACTTTATATCGACTTGTTCAAAATTTCTTATTATAAAGTTCACACTAGACATAAAGATGGGTAATCAAATAATATCGATAGTTCTCATACAACATAAGTGATTAATACAAAGCAGTATATTTACAATCCATAATGAGTATCTGTTGACCATACTAAACTATATTAACTAGATGTATTATGTTAATAAGGTTTATGCTTTCCGCAACAAGAATGCTGAATATGAATTAAACTAGATTTATTAATTTTTAATAGCTAACAATCTTGAAGATTTTCATGAACTTCTATTAATGAGGAAAAGGGTTAATTGGATTTAGAACATTTCTAATTTCATTATTGGAAGTAAGGGATTATAACTAGATATGCGTAACCTAAATTATTAGGTTAATTTAAAATTAATTTCCTTTTATTATGTTAAGTTAATTCAGATTCCATAAAATAGGATTCTACATTTAATTAATGAACAATACGAAAATAATATGAACTGATCAACATTAAAGATCATAATTTGTTGAATTAATCAATTAGTACTTTTAGCAAAATAAATACATGAAGATGATGTATTGGTTATTTTTATAATTTCATTGACTTGATTAACCACAAAGATTATTAATTGTATATGCTTAAAATAAAATCATGAATTAAATTGATTTCCAAATGAAGGATTTCCCAAGAATATATGCAATAGAGATGAGTTTCGGTCCAGAATTGTTGGATTGTGTACACTATTAGTATTCCAGAAGTAAAACATTTAATTGTAAATTGTATGAATATACTTCGCCATCATACATAAGAAATTTACTATAATCGTGTGAGTGTGAGAAATATTTAAATTATTTGATATGACTTTATATACCATCAAACTTACAACTAATAAACGCATAAATGACCTGAACAGTATACAAATTGTAGACGCATCCTCTTTCAAAGCTAAACTTAATAGTTAGTCTAAGATGCCTAAATATATTGATCATACATGTCCAGTTTCTGGATACCTGTTTAGACCCTACCCACTTTCGACATCTTTTCATACACATAGTTCCCTTTATCATTGTGAAAAGAGCAAGAACAAAGATTCTAGCAGAATATCATGAATTCATTTTATTTCGTAGGTTCTCGTCAGATGCTTACAACCTGTGATATTTAAAAATCATAATTACATAATGGGTTTAAATTGCTAACTGAATATTGTAAATATATACCTAATGTGAAAGAATATTCTACAACATTAATTGTGACAACAGTTCAAAAGTGGGTTAGAAACAATCGATTACATAATGAATAAACATTAATAGGAATATAGTGAGTAGAGTTCAGTTGAAAGATTATTAATTTGAAAGATAGTTGAAAAAATAAAATAGAGTCAATGATGTAATAAATGCAAAAGAAAAAGAAAATAGAATTTTATGGTGCAGTGAAGGAATATTTATCACCAGGCCGATGTACCTGCCAAAGCATATATATATATATATATAGAGAGAGAGAGAAAAGTACAAGAGAAGGAATATCGAGGCATCAATTAGCGTATTTAAAGAACCTTTCTCACATTGGACCAAATGGTATCATAGCTCGATATGGTACCATCCATCATATACGATCCATATAATAAGTATTCAAAATTATCAGTAGCGAGAAAAATTCTACTATATTCACTGAAGTTATTAGCGATTTAGAAACGATATTAGTTGTTAAACTTTAGTTTCTCCAATAATAGCAGTAAACAATACAAGTCCTTTCCTCTCTTAACTACGATTTCAGTTCAGTGAACTTATTTTGAAATATCTGTCATTTTTTTCTTACCAACCTGTTTTTAGAAATCCGATTACAAGGCATAATGGAACCATCTATCCGAATATTTCAAAAACATCACCTCAGTTGATGAAAAATCTTCCTTCAGAGTTATTTTTCACCTTCAAATAGCGTTCTACCTCTTTTTTCCCAGACAATTTATTGAATGATTCGTATCTGAATTTCCGAATATGTTAATAATTCAATTTACTGTCATAAATGTAACTGGAGAAAACACAATAAATTGATAATATTGTCTGCAAACCCTGTCGTTTTTTGTTAGTACTAATATTTTTGTACAAATCATTAAGCGTACGCTATAAGGACCGAACTGTTATCAAATTTGTGATTGCAACATTTACAAACAATCTACTTACATAGTGCTTTTAATCGATACAGCCAGAAAAACCACGATATTTGGTGGCCGAACATTGAAATGTAAGCATAAAACTGAAAATCTTTCAAGTAGTTCATAAAAACTAAGAAACACAAGAAAGATTCAATTTTGTTATGTGGAGAGTTGTTATGAAGATAATACATTTACAATTTAATTGGCATGTGAGCCTTTTACTGATAAAAGGAGGGGAATAAGTGATTCTCACTATAGAAATAATAAGAGACCGGTACTAATAGTAATTTTTTATAACGAAAAAGTGATCTAATTAAATCCATACTAACATGGATACAAGGGCAAAAAAATAAATATATGGACTGTAAAAATGCTTGCTAAAATACTTATAGTACACGACAGTTAAAAATATTATGAAACTATAGGATACTGTAACGCAGATTTTAGGAAAAAAAATAATCTAAAAGGAAGAAATTGTTCTCTACATGTCGGTAGAAAGAGGTTAGTTTGTTTATTACACATAAGAAAACAGACAGACTACGATGGAGAAAGATACAATAAAATTAAGGGTTACTAACAATCATATTTGAATGTCTAGACCATCTAAAAAGAATATAACAAGCGACTAGAGTAGAGGTTAGAGAGACGGCATTATGCAGTATTTTTCGTCTTCCATCATCTCGATGAACTAAAACCACTGGACGTAATGGAGGACTATTTGAATTGGAATGATTCTCTGCAATGATAGCTCGAGCACGCTTTCCATTGCTCATTTCCGAAGAACCACTGGGGCTTTCACCGTTGCTCATTCCGCTGCCTGGCGAATTATCATCTGGATGTGAATTCGTCAATGCATGACTACTACTTGTTACAAAGGAAGCTGTTCCAACTGGCAGAGATGCTAGCGATGGTGCAACTTGATACTTACAGCATGGATCCCATTGCCAAAACAATGCGTATAATCCTGCAGCAGAGGCACTAATTGCACTCAATGTAGTTGTAATAAATCGTATAACACTTGGTGTGATTGTAATCAAGGCACCACTTGTTCGAACAGTAGGAAACAAACGAATACCGAGGTCTAACGGAAAGTATACTTTAGAAAATGTAGAATTCCACATCAAACCAATGCCAGCTGTAGTTACAGCAGCTATTCCTGTGAAAACGATAAGCACATTTAAAACGAAACATATTCAGTTATTGGTCATCAGTATTATATATTAACAAAAGTCAGTACACATTTATTCTAAATATTCCTACAAATAAATCCGTTAAGATCGATCTTTTTTAACTTACATGTGTCAAAATAATTGACAAATCAACACTCATCACCAGTGAGTTAAAAAATGATGGCCGTTTTTGGAAAATAAAAATTTATATTTACATTTATAAGAGTATGGAATGAAACTACGCACGGCTATATATGTTTGGTAAAAACATTAACAATATTTATTCGCATTTTAGAATCTGTAAATAAGTACAAATATTAATCTTTAGGTCATAGCTGCTATATGAAGAATGTAGATACCAACTGGGCACCCAAAATGAAGCATACGAAGAAAGGTTTAGACAGGCAGTTTGGCAATTCGAAATCAAGTACCATTACAACTGAGCTATAACCCCATAGGAATGTTAAGATTATCTAACAAATGAGCACATGTTACTGGCCACTAAACTTTATTCATCGTTATGTGCCATTTACTCGTGTATGGGTATCCCTAGCAAGCATTGGATTTGGCTGACAATGAAAAATGAATACTTCACTGTGTTTCAATTGAATACTCACAAGGTATCTGAAATAATGGGTGAATTAATGCAAATTAAGTAGAACAGTATAATAGTTAAGGCTGCCAGACAATAGTATCTACATTTATTCTTTACCTTGTAAACCTTGAGTTTTGTATCATATTCTATATTTCACTCTTGACCACATTTATTCTTACAGAGTTAAATTTTTAATATTTAGACTCCCAATGAAGTTGATGTTACTTACCCTCATATGTTACTCAAATTAGTAATTTTTCTTTCTGTTTCTTCAGATACTAAGTTTGCGAATTGTCTTAAATTTTTTACTACCCCACGAATTAGTATTTCCTTATAGAATTCTATATTCTGCAGTCAATATTTCCTATTATCGCAAGAACTGTTACCACATCTACTACCCCATTATTTATCTTGATAATTTGATGCCGTTGTACTGATGTGGTGTGAAAACTTTTAAAGAAGCACAAGTGCCCCAGCTTCGACGTTGTTCATGAATGACTCTCTACGCTGATGTAAATTGTGGGAATTTAGACAATCAGACATTTTTACTAGATCTCACGTTGTTTATGGATAATTTGTGCTACACTGTAACTTGGGCATAATTAACGAATTATAGAACTGGATATTATTTTAACCTTACTAATATGAATGCGGCATTTTTGACTCTGCAACATCAACGAAATGTTCAAAACCACGATTCCGTTTAGCAAACAAACAGATCCTAGGCATATGATGTCCACAATACAGTCATCTCCCATTCAGCATTGAGTGGGGAGAATCCCTACGAAGTAATCTTGTACTATGATGATAAAGGTTTGAACAGTAGCTTTCGGAACACATAACACGGGAAACAAGGTGAGATATTTTGTAGACGGTTATCAGTAAATAAGGCACTTCATTATTTCGAATGCAGTAAAAAATATACAATGAAACTATAATTGGCGATGATGGTAAAATGCTAAAAATCTTACCTGATATAACAGCTGTTTTATGTAACCAGTTACCCGTACGAATCCATCGCCACGTTACTTCACCGAGAGATTCTGGTTCAATAATGACCATACACACTTTACGACTTAGTACAAAATCTAATTCACGTTCAAAGTCTTCAGGAGAGTGGCTATGATTGTATATTGCACGAATGATGGCATATGTCTTCTTTCTATTGACAATAGCCTTAAAGAAAACCCGAACGTTTTGCTTAATGAGTTATAATGATACAAAACTAGGCTTTACAAACTCAGTCGATGAATATTTGGGTAAAAAAGGACAATAGAGCAATGAAAAGCTAACCACATAAACAATATATTTTTCAGAACACAGCGGTACCATATATATAAGTAAACTAGAACTAAGTTTGTTATTTTCTACAACAATGATATAAAATGAGTACAGATAAAACGTGCAAACTTGATTTATTGCATTTTGTGAAGTTGATACTTTTTGGCCGCTCACTGATGGAGTTAGAGATTTGTGATTTGAGGTGTTGATTTTAAGTCAAATATTTTCCAATCGTCCCTACTTTTTCAGCTTATATGCATGCTATAACAATGCTTAATAAACAAGGTACGGTCGAGTGGAGGAGAGTCAGCTCTCCCTCACGAAATGCTCTCACATGACCACGCGTAAACAACCGCTGCCAGGGAAGTTCTGCTCACTACCTCCTTGTGGGAGGGGTGTTATTTACGAGATTGAGAGGACAAAAAGCGAATCTCCAGTGCTTTAACCGGGTTATTGGGTATGGAAGCTCCAACTAGAGGAGTTGGAAAATCCTGATTCCAAACCAATGGTGCACATGGGCTCCAGTATCCTGAAGGAACAAATGGCGTATGAACTTATTGTTGGTCACTGGCTACGATTGGGCTGCATCTCCTAACGTTGCTCCACTGCCTTGTGGATTAGACCTTTGGGTTAAAGGCTCGGGGAGTGACCTCCTAAGAAGACCACCTCCCTCTGTTTGGGCACCCTGGCAGTATCACAGTCCTCACAAAAATCAATCATAACTACTACTGGACTTATTGTGTGGCGCATATATTTGGCGCCCCCTTGTACCAGTGCTTGTGTTCAAATAATCAAAACTTATCTCTATAAGATAGTTACAATGGGAACGTTGGACTACTGAATATGGCGAGACTCTAATTTATGGACGAGCGAATCAGAGGCGTTTTAGAGCTTTCAAGGTTACGGCGCCAACTTCAGTGCTTAATGCTAACGTATGATCGATTTACAGGGAATTTTGTAAAAAACGTGATAATTGAGCGGCTATAGCAAATAAAACGGTTCGACTTTAATTTATGGACGAATCAATCAGGTAAAAGATAATAGATTTCGGATTTTAACGCGAAAGCCTTTCATCCATTTGGCTAAATAAATTTCTGGCATTATAGCTGATGTCAGTTTGTGATGAAAACCCTATATATAATTCCGAAGTAAGGCAAATCGTGACAATTATTGCGAACTGGATAATAAAAGCACCAGTAACACTGGCTGCAGCTATGTACTACAATATATACTGATGTTTGGAGAGTGTACAGACTCCTACATAGGCTTGGTTATGTGCATCGTGTCGTTATCCACAGGTAGCATTTTGTGCACTCAACAACCGGAGTGCACCTAAACAATGTTGAAGCTATGTGGTCGAGGCTGAAAGAGTTTTTGAGACTTTATCACGGCTCCAGAGGCCGGCTATTTTGTAGCCGTATGGATGATTTCCTCTACTGCATGTATTACGATTTTAGAACCTTCAAACCTCTTTTTAACTTTGACAAGGTTTTGAACCACGTATAAGAAGTGTATCCACTTTAGTTCCTTGGTTTTGTATAACATATTTTTACTTTGTACTGACTGTTTGTTGATTGGCTAATATGTCTCAAGGTCACTTATGATTCGTTCAAAGGTCTTCCATAAACTAGTCACGCCCTGAAATTAAGTGGAAGCTATAGTCGAGACAAAAGGTAAATGGATATAAAAATGGAAAAAACACTAAGGAGCTAATTAATCAATCTTAAGCATTTTATTTATTTGAACATATGAGTATTGGTACAAAGGGGGCACCGAATACATATGCGCTACACAAGTCACTTGATTTGTGTGTGGGCTGTAACACTGCCTGGGTGCCCAGACCGAAACGGGTTCTTTAGCAACACCCTTCTGATAAGTGAGCACTTTTTCACTATAAACTGATACTCAATGAAAAACCAATGAAAATTAAGAATTACCGGGTGGACGTTTTGGTCCAAATTGGAGCTCCTCAACATTACACAGAATACCGATCCCAGAATTTTAGGACTTTGTAGTAAGCACAACCCATCAGTTGTTGGGCAGCTAAACAACAGCTTATAATTCGAATCTAGGCACTTGTGCTTTATTTTTGGACTTACATCCCATTCTCACATAAAGAAACTCAAATCAGCACACTGTTGATGTTTCGTAGTCAAATAGACAGCTCAAGATCCAAGTTCAGTGCTAAGAATTTACTGAATCTTTTTACAGAAAGGTACAGATGGGACTAGGAAGTCTGTAATCTCAGATCGAAACATTTTCCGAGCAACTTAAATCTCAATTACTTCAAAATGTCCTCTATTAACGGGTTAACTCACTATTTCGATAATTGCGTACATTAATCTATTAAAACATGCCATACAGCCTGCACAACCTAATTCTAAATAACATTACAGTGAATCAGAATATAATCGGAATGAACAACAGTATTGACAAGAATTTCAACACGGTCACAAAACGATCGAGTGAATTCAACGAAATAACGGGAACTATATGATACTAAGATAGTAGACACAAAGGATTTGACTGCCGCACTTTTAATTTTCATCTGAAACGAGAGAGCGACTAAACATTAAAAGAAGAGTTTGAGATATGGCAATTCCATTAACCATTTGTCAAATGGTTAAACTTATCGTATATCAATGCACATGAGTCGGGTCCGATAACAGTGAATATTGCTATGCACATAGATGGATCATGTGCTTTAATAGGACTTCAAGTTATCATTTTATTGCCTTCTGTTTACTAAACGTGATCCATCCAAATATATTGAGTATTTAAGTGGTAGAATTGAGCGGACAAATGGTGCCAATTCAGCCTTACTGTGACCGAGCAAAACAAATAATTCTCTTCTTTTTTCATAGAATACAAAGTGATCTCATATACATATCCCGTACCTCAAATAACAACTTGTGTGTTAGCAAGTCTTATCTTCCTGGTCTTCTTAGAACGGGTCATATTCGAGACTGTAACCTGAAACGTTTATCAAGTAGTCGACTGGGACACTCTACCTCGAAGTTACACTAACATCACTGAACATCCGTTAAGAAAGAACAACCACAATGCTTACTGCAACATACCATGACCTTCTGTATACATGAAAACTAAATTGACCGCTCGGCAATTCAGTCTCAATTCAATTTCGGTTTTGGAAGGACAGGCTAGGTGGCCAAGTGTTGTCCTGGAGATGGTGATCTCTCAGCTGATCCAATTTGCTTTTGAGAGCGTAGACAAGTAGAACTTCAATCACGTGTTGAGGTGGTGGATTCCATTCAAATGGTTGATGATTCGATGAGAAATTCGATAGTCAGATGCTAAGTAATTTATTCTGGGATTGCGAATTTTTTCAGTGTCCTTGAAAATTTTATATTCAGAAAGACGAGAAAAATGAGAGTATATTAAATACAAACTTGTCACTAAGTAATTTAAAAACTGTGATCAAGTCACCTCTGATTCTTCTTTATGACAATGGAAGTAGGTTTAGTTTAGCCAGTCGAGTATTGTACGGCACGTTTGCCATTCTGGGACTCGACTCAGTCGCGGTTCTTTGAACCACAGGGTTCCAAACCTTTTAGTGGCTATATCATGGCAGTGACAGTAGTTTTTATATTTCGATAGAGCAACTACATGACGGAGTCGATCTAACCGTTCTATCAAAATTTATAAAAGTAACTAATTACTTTCGAATAGTTTTTAAGCCCCAGGCAACGATGACCTATAGATCATTGTGTGTGCGGATAACATGTAGCTCAGTTTTATTCATCGTATATGTCTCTGTGTCCGGTGATCAATATAGATCATAATGTTCATGGATGTACTTATCAGCAACTGCTGTATTCTAGACCATTCTGGTAATTTCTGTAGATCATTTTGCAGCTCTTAACAGTCACCCTTATTTTCTGTCGCTTTCCATATCTTGACATCGTCAGCATATGAAAAGGTCGGTGATGATGTGGGACTAAGAAGGTCATTTACATACAGGCGAAACAACAGTGGTTTGATAACTGTACACTAAGGCACTCCGATAAACACAGTTTTACAGATAGAGAAGTTTCAGTTCACCTGTACTCTTAGTTGGTGCCCAGCTATGATATTCTCTATCATAATAAATAAAATGCCTCTAGTCCCAATGTTACCTGGCTTACATAGCAGCTGGTTGTGGGGAACTTTGTCAAAAGCCTTGCTCTAGTCAGTATAGGCTACACCTTTAGGTAACTTTTGATCTTTAAAGTAGCATCAACCTTCATGTGCTTCTAATAATATGAGTAACCTGCTCTAAAACCACGCTGTTTTTCCGAAAAAATTCGGCCTTATTCGAGATAAGTAGACACCTCCTTCCAAGCAATATTTTCTAAGATTCTAACAACCACGCTTGTACCTGTTTTGAAGATAAGTCTTACTATAGCATATTCTAGTCTTTCGATAATCCACTTCGGATTACAGATAGAGTAAAAATTACTCTGAAGGTATTCGTGACAAAAATTGCTAGTTCTGTTAATAACCTAGGATGTATTTCATTGGGTTGCATGAATTTGCCTATATTAAGGTCATTTAGCAGACCAAAGATATCGAGTTCTTCAGTGGTCACAGCGTTTAATGTGTGTGGCTCGTAAGGAATGAAGAGGAGAGCATATTTACGTTATATACATTGCTAAAGTAACTTGAGAGTGGCTGAGATTTACTGTAATCTTCTTCTACTGATGACGCAACACTCATATCTCCCCATAATATTGGAATATTTCCTATTTTCCTAATCAATTGGTTTGTGTACAAATATAAGTGTTTAGGGTATTCTATAGACTCCTTACCAAGTTCTTCTTACTGCAACCTTCTAAACTTCCAGATGGTCGAGGCACTATTATTTCAAGCCTCCCGATAATTTGATTTTTTCCATCTCAGTGACCTAAGTCTCTCACACATTCTTCTCCCCTTACGGAGAAAAGTACGGACCTTTTTTCTAAATCACGGTGTGGAATTTCTCTAACTCGTTGGTACAGTCTACGGGATTCGTGGTACAGTGACTTTTGTGCTTAAATTTCTGAATACATCCAAATCCGTTCTAAATGAGGACCCTGACACTATTGATCAGTTTACTAAGGACGTTAAATGTACATGTCGCATATTTGCTCTCCAGACGTTTGGTCTGGATTGGACTGGGAAACTCGTGTTTGACAACTATATGGAAATCAAAGGCTAGAGCTATATGGTCATCTTTACCTAGGGGTAACATATAATGGGGGTTTGCGAAGTCATTCTCATGATCTGTCAACGTGAGATGTAGTAAGGATGATTTAGAGTCCGGGTTGTACCTCGTTGCCCTTTTCACATATCACACTTGTACATATGTAATAGCTTAGGTTGGTTGGTTAAGAGTTCACCTCAAACAACTAAGCATATGTCAAAACAGTATATTTCAAGTATTCATCCACTTCCTTATTTTGTATAGGCGTTATATTTCCTATTATCGTATACTGAATGTTGAGAGGCTTTGTTTGTCTGAACAAATAATTCCAACGCCCCACTGTGACTGCGTGAAGATTTAAATAAAGACCTATTCACTACTTGTCTGGTTTCTTCTATCAATATCACGAGGGTTACCTAGAGGCACGAAACATATATGATAACCGCGTCAACTAGTTTTTGTTTGTCTCCTAAGATTAAGCATCCATCAGATAGCTCGAATGAATAAACATAGTAGTGGAAGAAGCTTTTGTTAACAGGTTCCCATCCCCTATGCAAGCTAGTCATTGATAAATTCAAGTAGGGTCCTGGATATATAAGGTGATCTAAACAAGTTGTGTCGTGGTTAGTTTTTAGCAGTAGATAAGAATTTTCCCTCACAAAATCCCACAGATATCTTTCCGACCTTTAACTCAGTGTGGGGTTAGAGAAGTTTATTAATTACGAGGCGCGATGGGTATGTCAACAATCAAGCCGGCTATGTTGAGCTTCTTATTTTATCGTATCCTCTCTGTGGTTCTTGTTTGGAGTAAAATAGCAGGTTTCAGAGAACATTTTCATGTGGTTATAATTTTTGGGTCCATTGTGAGGTCTTCGCTGATTTTTTCCTTGAATCTGAAAAAGAATCTGGAAGGGATCTCGTGGTAAGTCTTCGGATATGACCCGAATTATTCCCGTCCTTTCGGAGTAGATAAGATAACAGTATGTTGTCATACTCTTGATGAGGTTGAGTGGAAAAGATTAACATGTCGGATCGACCTGTTTTATGAGCAAAACACTTTCCAGTGCGCCATACGTTTGTTTAATCTCACTGTATTAGTTGACTGGTCGGAAGTGCGTCTTTGCATAAAAGTATCTTGCCATAACTAGCATATAATTTTAAAGCGTCTAAGTTTGATGAGACGTGAACTTGATGATAGTAGTGCTCTAGCAGATGCCGTCAACAGAATATAAACGGTTCAAGTTACGTTAGTCGACAGATGACCAATTTAAGTGCTTAGTATTCATCAAAGCTCTTCAGTCGTCACAAAATGCTGAGATTAGAACTAGACTTTGAAACCAGCTGGATCAAGATCCAGACGTTACACTTGAGATACTTACATGCGAATGTAAACGGCTGCAAACAATCAGACACGACAATGGGTTGGTTGAGCAGGTAAATCCGCAGATAATCTTCAATGATGTCAGTTCTACCACTGGGTTGAGACCTCAGAATATTCGGGAAACTTCATAATAAACGAACTAATGACTGTTGGTTATGCGGTGCTTGACATAATATGCGATTCTGTCTATTTAAGTAGCATAAATGTCAGGTAGGTCACTGTCCATCTAGTCGCACTTGCACGATCAAGAAAAAAATAGATGTCCTCGGCACAAGTTAAAGTCAACTGAATCTAAATCATTTTCTTCGGTATGTCGTTATCGAAATTAACATCACATCAACGGATCCTCAAACTGAGGCGGCATAGGATGCCATCTTAGTGTCTAGAGAAATGTATAACCTGCTTGGGAAGACATCGGCGAAACCATCTATAAAGACTTCTAAAAACTCATCAAATGGAGTATTAAAACTGGATGGCGAATTAGAGAGTGAATTTACTGTTATTATTATTATTAATGGCTTTATTCAATACTATGTTTTGGTACAATATAGAATTCTCAGCAGAAGGTATTTCAACAAGTTACTTACGTAAAAAACAGTAACAAAGACAAAAAATGAATAAAAAAGGTTTCAAAAAACACCGAAAAACTGCACAACTTTTAAAATTAGAGACATTTTGAGAATGCAGGATATTAATTAGGTTAACCCTAACAACCTGTTCGTGACAGAGTATATTTGCTAAGTAAGGTGTTATAGAACGTTTATACTTTTGCTTGCGTGCATGGATTTTAATGTAATCACGTCTCGTTCTACCGGGAGATATACAAGGAGAAACATAAGAGTGAAGGGGGTGGTTAGTATCTGATAAAATAACACCTGCCAGGAGTTTGCATGACTTTAGATGTCTATCCACAACAATATTAATTATGACCTCGAAAGATTCACCACACAAATTGCTAACTGCCTTCAACACTCTCTGCAATACAGCAAAGTCTTTTCTTGAAATCCCGGGAAAGAATAATGGAGAACAGTAAATAATAATGGGTAATATGCAAGAATTGACAAATTGTAAGAGTAAACGACAAGTAATCTCAAGAGCATGCAATCTCTTTATGTAGTCAGTCAGACGGAAAACCTTCTTCGATAACAATAAAATGTGGGAAGACCAAGAGAGATCAGAGGAAAAGGTAACACCAAGATAATTGACCTTCGTCACTGTGTTTACCAAACATTCTCCAATGGTACAAGCACTATGGGATCTCAAAATAGTGTTTAGATTCCGTTCATGTCTCATGCTAAAGTTAACAGCTTGACATTTAGACGGATTAAGTATGAGACCATTACCAACAGACCAACAATCAATACGAGACAAAAACTCATTCATTTCTATGGAATGTAAAGAGGAAGAGATAGGCATACATACAGTGAAATCATCCGCATATTTCACAAAAGTGTTTTCTGTGGAAGATGGCACATCATGCAGAAAAAACATAGAAAAGAAGAGGTGAAAGAACAGCTCAT